GTTTTTGTCGCATTGTTTGCCGTTTCATTAAAAATTGCCCCGAAAGGCAATCAATTTGCCGAAGCGTACCAAATTTTATCTCCTCATTTTTGGTTCACTCTACTTGAGTTTGCTTCTCCCTTTTTTTTTTATTATATATTTTTGATGTCCTTGCCAAGTGCTTTTTGATTGTTTAATATGTCGCTGAGCCGCACATAAGCGCTGCTAAATGGATGCCATGCACAACTCGAAGCATACTTTTCATCGAAAATTAAAATGAAAATGAAAATGATGTGCAATCAACACGCGCGTAAGCCGCCGCCGCCAGCACAAAAAAAAAACCGACAGACGGACAGGCAGGCGGACGGACGGACAGGCACAGTCGTTTGGCCATGAAAAGCGAGCATGAAAATTAAAAAGTTTCCATTTTTTTGTTTTGCTTGTTTGTGTGCCACGCTTTGGTTACGCAGAGCGAGAGGGCTGCCATGTAAATTACAACAGTTGTCGGACTAACCGGAGCTTACAAATATTGATACAAACATACATACAATAAAAATGTATATATATGTGTATGTGTGTGTGTATATTTATGTGTGCATTTGCTGCTGACTGGTTGGGTCCTGGCAACAGCTTGCGGTTGGCCAATTTTTGTTGCAAGCGAAATGAGAAGCACGTACACTCCCTGTCCTTCTCTTTACCCCTCTCTCTCTCACTCACTGTATAGCAGAGTATTTTGTTCATAAGCAAGACATAAATTAATGCTAAATGCCATGAAATTTAAACGGCACTACAGGGAGAGAGTGACTCAAGGAGAGAGAGAGAGAGAGGGCAGATTCTGGGAAATTATAAAATAATTTATATCTATTTTCATTTTTTTTTTTTATTATGATATGATCTAGAAACCTTTTGACTATCTAATGGAAAATTATTTGAAGTGAGTGCTTGAGTTTTTTTTTTTTTTATGCAACTCAATTGAATTAAATTGTTTAATTTATTTAACTGTGTAAAAAATGTTATTGCTATTTCTAAATCAACAATTATTAAATTTACAAGCTACAAATATTTAGAGCTCAGCTAGATATAATGTTCTCTTCGAAAATGCATAGATCTATCAGTCAGCAAATTGTTATCATTATTATAAATCACTCAAAAGTCTTTAAGCAGCTATGCAGAGCTCTTCAGCTTTACACAAAATATTTAATTAAATTAAGTTGACATTTTTTCCAGTATTTTTCTAACCGCAAATAACATTTGCCGGCATTCTATTGTGGCTTTCAGCAATTTGATTGATTTTTTACTATGAGCAACTTTCTCTCTCTCTCTCTCGCTCTCTCTCTCTCTGTTCTTTTCTCTTTTTGAGGTTTTGTTATTTGCTTGCAATGCTTTGACTTCGTTTGTTGGCTGTTTGGGCTAGTTGCTCTGCTCTTTTTAACCCTACCCTTGCCCCGTCCCCTGCCCCTCGTCTGCATCCTGGCTGGGGCTTCGCAACGCTCGCAGCGCTTTCAGTTTGCCTTTTGTTACTCGCCTGGCTTTGACTGCTGGCTTCCCAGTTATTTTACAAACAGGTATCGCATGCGGTTTCATTTCGTTAGCCAAAGCTCTATGACTGCAGTGTTCAATCGAAGTTACAGTTACAGCTCCGTTACAGCTTTTTTCCATTCCGCAAATCAAAAGTCAAATCGTTGTCAAATTTTTGCTTAAATAACAATAAAGCGCACTCTGTTTAGCTGCTTATCTGGCAACTCCAAGCAAAACTCACCCACACTCATTTATATATGTATATGTATATACATAGACAAATAGACAGAGAGCCACCCAAATACAGTTATCAATGGCTTGTTTTGACTTTGTTATCTGCTCTACGTGCTCTTTTTTTATTTATGCATACTTTAAGGCTTAGCGCCGCCTGCACGTTTCATGTCTCGCTGGCTTTTCACATGCGCATCTGACCCAAGGGCAGAATAACAAAGAGGGCGTGAGTGAGTTAGAGAAAGAGAGAGATGGAGATAGCACTTGTGGTGTGAGGGGTGAAGCTGGCAAAGCATAAACATGACAAATGGTAGAAATGCTGAATTTTTAAGTCGAGGCGATTGAGCGATTGTGCGTCTGGCTCTGGGTCTGCTTGCGGCTGGGTCTCCCTTGTGCTATCCCCCCTCGCCGCCGCACCGGCAATTCTTCAATTCTGATTCACCTGTCAGCACACGCAAGCACCGAGCAACAGCAAATATAAATAATAAATTTGCTGCGGCAGCAGAATAAATCTTCTGAAAGGTG